AGTCATCTGTTTTTACTGCCACCATGCACAAGTCGTAAAATTACACATCTTTATTACGTTTACAAGGTTGAAAAATACAGGGAACCCGGAAGTCCGTTGAAAATACTCGGCCAAAAATAACATACTGAATTTTCTTCATACTGAAGTTTTTCATCCTTTGGAATGAACATTTCGAAAACACATAAATGTTGGAACGAGAAAACGGTAATAAATTACTTCTGGAAAACGTCGAATACGAAAACTGAAAATATCGAAAAATCTCGGAATTTCGATTTTTGGGCTTTTAGCTGTTTTTGAGCTAACCTTCATACCCCTTTTAATCTTCTTTTGCGAATTTTCTTAGGGATTAATCGGAATTTTTCAGTAATTTGCACTACTCAAACATGAGGCGCTGGGTGCAGAAAGGGCATCTTTTGCTTGCGGTGTCTCAGAATTTTTGCTAACGTCTCATCCATTATGTTGTCGGAAGCAAATTTATGGAATTCGTTAGAGCTTTTACTGAATTTTCATTATTATTTTATAATGCTGAAAATGATTTTTTTTTTAGGAAATTCACCCAATAGTTTCCTCCCTACTGTAATTTAGCAGTGGAAATTCTGAACCAGTGCAACCAAGAAATGCCCTTTCTGTATTCAAATGTAAAAATTGCTGTCCGGTAAAACTTTGAAAAGTTGCAATGCAATTAATCCCTTTCAGTTCTCACCCCTTCAATATGCGGCGGCTATTGAATCAAAAGCAAGCGTCCTTGATTTAAGTGCTTGCGTCAACAAACTTTAAAGAAAAAAGAGAAAACTAAATGAAGAGCGGGCACCGAAGCGGAGCCGTGCGAATTTTCAGGGGCACTTTCCAATGCCAGGCGGCGGCCCGTTGACCCCGGCGCCAAGCGCCCGGAACCTTTCGCCGTCCGCGAAGCCTTTCGCGAAAATTTTAATTCCGTCCAATTAGTCACCCTTTTGATCACCGAGCCCGGATCACCGCGTAAAAACATCAGCGACCTCTCCACCTCTCGCTTCATTACCGAGACCTTGTAACTGTCCGTGCGCTTCTTTATAAATACGTCAGCGCTACAAAATCGCCCGCACCCCGCCCGCCCCGCCAAGTACACGCGTAATGTGTTTTTTGTGTATTTCGAGCCGAGAGGAAATAAGGAAGAAAAAACTGCCGAGGATTTTTGGGCATCGTCCAACGCGGCGTCGGCGTCGGTCGGAGTGACGAGCCGGGAGGAGGGGGATGGGGGTGGGAATGGGGGATGAGGGAGATTTTGTCAGGTTTTGGAGTACTTATTTTCGGCATTTACCTACGCCGTAATCCCACTAACCTCCTTCGCCGATTGACGCCACTCATTCATAGATAGAACGTGTCTTGTGGGTTGACAGCAGTGGCGTGGCTTGCTTTGCGATATATCGATTGATCTGTCATATGGAAAAGGATCGATTAACAGGGTGTTCGCAGCGAACATTTTAATAATCGATTCTTTACCACGGATTCCAATGGGGAAATATCGATAATCGATCATTCACGCCACGCCACGCCACTGGTTGTCAGATAGGACTTGGGCCCGATGTGTTGAAGTACCATCAGAGCAACAGTCCCAATAGATGGAAGAACAGCGCTGCCTTTGTAGTACGTTTGCACGAACATGAATCGAATTATTCAAAATTGAAATATTGGCGTGATGGAGAATTTGCAGGTGTCTGAAATTTGCTGAACTCCCTATTTAAGCGGAACCTACTTAGTGAACTGAACACGGGGATACCCTTGGTTCATCAACTATTGCCCCTTTTTGCCCTCAAAATGAAAATCTTCACCCTGCATTGGTTCAGAAATAAACTTAACTGCTCACAACTCAATCTTGCAGATATCGGAGCTTACACTGAAAAAAAAGTAGTTAGCGTTGAGAACTAATTTGGTAAGTTCTCGCCAAGTAGAATCAAAATTAGGCTTCAGAACTAATTTATTGTACTGAAGCACCAATCAATTCGCTTCATACGCTGACTTGACTTTACTAGAGCGCGAACCAGAATTGGAAAACAGCACTAGCTGTAAAATTAGCGCTGTGGTAAGACAAATTCACTTTCGGGTCAAACTAATTCGCCCTCAACGCTAACTGCCACATTGTCCGTTACATTTATTTAGTTTCGAAAAAGTGGCGTCGGTACAACAGCCTCAATCGCGTCAGCTCGTGAAAATCAATTAAAATGTGAAATTTCGGGCTCGTTTGACAATGTAAATACTCCCGGTATGATTTATAGTGTCCTCTCTTTCTTGAAAACGTTCGGAAGCAACATAAATAAACCTGTTAAGGTTAGAAATCGTCTGTTCGATTCGAAACGTAAACAAGCATGATATTCGTTGGAGTCGTCAATCTTCTGTATTAAATTGCGATTAAAGCGTTCCGCGTTCAGTTTATATTTTACGAAAATCTGTGAACTTACTGCTTACTTCTATAGTTCGTGTTCTCCCGTAATTTCAAAAGAATATCTCAAGTGTTCGGACGAGATATGTTTATTCAGTGTGAACATTCGTTCCGTTTCATGTGTGAAGGTGTCTCTCTCTAAAGGATAATTCTGTCTACTTGCACATACCTATGGGATATTCCTTTCCTCTGCCGTTCATTTGGAACCGGTCAGTTTATTTTTACCTCTCGTCTTTTAAGAAATCTTCTTTTCCTGAAAGTATTGTCCAGTTATCATTCGCTAAGCCGTTTTCTCCTCTCTCAGTTTTGAGGTTAGGTTGACCCAACCCTACCGAATGCGAATTAGAGTAGCGGAATTAGTTTCCAGCACTAATAGTGGTTAGTGTACAGAAACCAAAAATCATGTGTGTCCAAATCACACAATTTGAGTTAGTGTATAGAAACCATTTTTAGTCCTCTGACGCTAACTCATTTTTTTCAGTGTAAAAAGTATTTGTTTTCTCAAAAACTCAAATCTCATTTTTTTATCTGGCCTGGATACATATTTTTCCTCTAATAGCTTTGTTCCTGGGAACTGAGGTCCCTTTTCCTGCAGTCGGTCACAAATGAATTCATTTTGATATCATGCGATCAGAATTTTCTAATCTTCAATCGACAATTGAATCAGTGAGCACGAAAACACACCAATTCGGAAAAATGAAAATAATCAAGACACACGCAAAACTGCACAGTAGGTGAAGAAGTTAGTTTCAGAAAAAGATTTTTGCTACCGAAAAACAAGTACTTTTGGACACTTTAAAGGTCCAAGTTGGAACAGACGCACTATCTTCAATGACCTTCGTGTAAATCAACTGTCTGAGATGGAAATTGAGCATTTTCGAGTTACCGAGTTGGTGTGTCTTCGTTCTCACTGATTCAATAGCAATTACGCATCAAATCACTCCAGAAGCCTTTTTTGAAGAGACCAGCTGCCTTTTTCCTCACTGGCAAACAATATCTAAGAGGGCAAATGAACATAGCATCATGACCATGACCAGCAATTAAGTTCCCTCATTTCAATTAACAACTCTCAGCGCCGTCAAAGATATTGCAATTTTCCCGGATGTCTTAATTAATGCACCCCAATAAAGACTGCAAAGCGACAACTACTAGGCTAGGTCTTTCGCAAAAAACCGGCAACCCGTCTCGTGGCGGCTGAAACTGGTAGCGCTGTCCGAGCGCTGTAGTATTAGTATCGACGTTTTGTTTTTTTTTGCGGCGATTTGCACTCGACTAAAGCCGCTATTTATTCCTCCACTGCTACTGTTGACCCTAATTTGTGCGCCTTGATACATTCTGGTCGTTGTATAAGTAAGTCCATGTCCGGTCATCATTCACAAACGCGGAGAAATAAAAGTTCTGCTGCGCTGCGATTAGAACGCCGCAAGAGCTTTTGCGTATTGATTGCCAAATGATCACCTATAATTTTTTTATTTCTGCGAGGAAAGTTCTTTGTATACCTTCTTGACAGTTTTTGGTGCTTGAGATTGAGCCACGAATGGAATTCTCCGAATAATTCCGGGAAATAAATTCTGAAATTTCTCAGAAAATCTGTGATTTGTCGGAGTGATTTCGCAACGTTTGAGTGTTCATGCGACTTCTGTACTCTGCACTGAGGAGTGGTTTTGCCATTTTGTAGATTATCTGGAAAAAATTCTGGCGGCAGCATTCCACGCAGAATTTAGGATTTACGGATTTTGACATATATGGACTTCAACGCTCGTCTATCTTGTAAGTCCTATAGTTTTGAGATTTGTCCCTTTTTGGAATTTAAAGTCACCTCAAATGTAGATTTAAAAAAAAGCTACCTCAAAAATATTTGATAAAATTAACTGTTCATAATATGATGTGATATGATTGATGTTCATAATATGATTTTTCCGGGAAAATTTGATAGGGCAATCGACATACGCACACGCACACGCACATCTGTTTCAAGTAGTTTTCCTCACGCTGAAAATCCGAGCAAATGCGTGAGAATTTCCCGGGAATTCTCCTCTCCTTTCCTTGCACTCAAATTTTACTCTCTAGGGTGACTGATCAGATTTTTCTTGAAACATTCATGGGAATTTTCTCGGTAATTTTCTTGATTGTTTTTTGCACTTAAGTTTGATCCCTTAAGGGGACCGACCAGATTTTTCTGGAAAGTTTCCTGAAAAAATCACTGGAAAAAAACCACATTGGATCTAGAGTCCAGACTCTTAAAATCATCGACAAGAAAAAGTACTCTTGATTCAATCAATATCTAGCTTAAATCAAGAACCAAGCGTCTTAATTTAGGCTGATTTCGTTTTGATTCAAGCAAAAATCCGATTGAATCAAGAGTATTTTTTCTTGTCAATGTTTTCAAGAGTCTAGACTCTAGATCCAATGTGTTTTTTTTTCCAGTGCACTTAAGTTTGATCCCTTAAGGGGACCGACCAGATTTTTCTCGAAAGTTTCCTGAAAAAATCTGGGGAACTTTTCCCCGGAATTTTCTTCCTCGTTCCTGGCTCTCGAGTTTGATCCCTTACAGCGACTAACGATATTTTTCCGTGTGTTTCAGAGGCGATGCCTTTCTGGAGCCGTACATGCAGGGGCTGGGCATCAACGACATGCACGTCCCGGCGCCACTCCCGGGGCCGACGGCTATGGTGAAGCGCCGCTCCCTGGACAGGGACCCGGAGACCTCGTGCTCCGACGTGGAGCCCCCGCGGAGTCGCACCTCCTCCCTCGGGGCCGACCCCCTCGACTCCTCGGCCTCCGCCTCCGCCCGCACCCCGCCCGAGTTCCGCCTCATCCGCCTCCACAACAGCTCCAGCCAGAACACGCTCAATGAGGTCAGTTTACTTTCAGCTACTCTTTTTTTTCTACCCTTTCGATTTGGACCCAGCTTAACGGAAACGCAACAACTCGCATCGAGTTCGCAGAATCAAACGGAGAATCTAATGTCACAAATGTTGTGTCTCGAAAGAGTTAGAAATAATAGTTCTTTATTGTAAAATGTTGTCACAATGGCGACACGAGTAAACCTAAGACTAATTGAATTTAAAACTACCCCCAACTCATTTTCCTCAAAAATGCGACTTCGCGCGTTTCCCATGAACTCGATCCATTTTGCAAGTATCTATCCACTCCTTTCTCGTGGGTTTTGCCTACGTTCGTTTATATTTTGCAAGTGTCTCAATGACTTTACAACATGAATCGTCGAGAAAACGCGAGAAAACGTGTATAGATCATGGAGAAATTAGGGAAAAAGTTCTCTGACCCGTATCTTCAATTTTAAAATTTAAAAATACCGCAACTCCTAGATAATGTATGTATTATGCTCCCTCGTGGTTCAGTCACTCAACATCCACCATAGATCTGTACACTCAGTTTCTCAGTCTTACAGTCGATGGATGTATTCGTGTTCCATGGATGGGCGTGTTGTATCATATAACTTGAAGGCGCCCTGACTTTTCTTGCCTGCACCGAAATGCGCTCCGCTCTGTGCCGCACCGGTCATCGGATCGTAGGAATTCGATCGTGAATTTCTTTCTTGTGCACAAAAATGAGCATTATAGACAGAGGCAGCATCATCTCAAATATGGTAAAATTCCTATCAGATTTATTGCGTCATCGACCAAAATTACGACATCACCTGGAGCCTTACCCGCGCACCGCTACCCCATGATTTTAAGTATAACGTTAATTTTAACATAAATAACAATATATTTTGTTCCCCTGAATTTTTTAATTTTGTGTAATGCCTCCTGTAATCTCCTCCGAGAGCAAAAGCCTGTGCAAGTTTCAAAAATACGAGCGTATATCCTATCGCGCCGTTCCTATGACTGCGGGTTAGGGCGTCAACGCGCCTCTCGTGGTAAGAGTATAATGCGCCGATTTGTCACATTCAGTCTAGCCCCTTGATTTATCCTCGTGTGCAAAACGCATGGCGCGCTGCCACTCGCCAAGCAGGAATTATAGCGCATCGCTGCCACATAGCGCCATCGTAGAGTATTATCAATGCAAGTTAGATTCCATTCATACCCGCCTCTCACAAACTTACCACATCTTAAATAATTGTTGAGCTGTGAGTTCGTTAACGAACAGAGACCCTCAATCAACCCTTAGGTTGCAGGTTAAAATTTTTACTAACCAACTTTCCCATAGGTCTCTTCCAATCAACTTTGAAAACTACCCTCTCGTTGGCCGACGAGGTATTGTTTGACAAACAAGCTGCAGTCTGTTGAATTTTTTGCTGAGTTCATTGTTCATCCTTTTCCTAAACGGTGAGAAACAGGAAGGTATAAGGAGTGAAAGATAAGCAGCTTTAGGTACGCCATGAAAAAGCAGGCCCGCCACAAGGGGGGGGGATACTGGGTCCTTGGTACCGGGGCCCGGGCCCTGGAGGGGCCCGTGACGCAAGTGACAAACCACTACGAATTCATGTGTAACCCTTGTCTCGCAAGGAAAAGTGAAAAAATTACCCTAAAAATTCCGCAAAAGGTGAATAAAGTTTCAAAAACACGCTAGGGCACTATACAATTTTTCTTACTTTTTTAGAGATTTCTATCTATTTTCAAAATTTTGAGTACATGTAGAATGATATTTTTAGTAACTGCGTTTCATTTTCTTCCGTTGTCGAATGCTGAGAGGCTCCTGTCTGGGCATCCTCGACTTCAATGGCTCAACTCCCTTGCCATAGACGTACGAAAGGGGAGTCCAGGGGGGCCCGGCTCCCCCTAGAATTGAAAAGTATCATCTGCCCCCCTCAAAAAAAATTTATAGATGTTTTGAATGCAACAATTCGAAAGTATTTGGTGCTGAAAGT